ATGTATGCATCCGAAGAAGTGGGCTGTAGTCCACAAAAGCTTATGCTCTGATAAATTTGTTAGTCTCTAAGGTGCCACAAGTACTCCTGTTCTTCTTTTTACAGGGCATACAGGCCGTAGAATTTCCTCCAGCCATTCCTGCTTTGAGCCCACTATCTTGTGACTGAGCTAGTACGTTTCTTTTAGGATAGCCACTTTTAGGATCCACACTCGATCACACCCAGTCTGTTTAGTCCATATCCTATCCCCAGCAGTACCAGATGTTTTCAAGTGAACAAAACTCACTTCACCTCAGGGCAAGTTTCATTTTATAGGTACCTACTGTATCATAATCCTACTAGCTCTTCATCTGTATCTAATTAATTGTGCAGCCATTTGCCATCAACTTATGCTTCTATTTTCCATTAACCAAATAGAAAGAATGTGATTGCATGTTAACTAGGTACTCCAGTTCAGCTTGTGGTTGACCAATAGAGTAATATAAATGCTTTAGGCTTAGGGACCAATATTTATTTTAGTGCAGGAAAATACTCTAATTTTTCCATTTGATACATTGCCATTTAATTGTTAGTTATTTTTTTCACTTGGCTATTGATGCTCCTGAGTTCATCTGTAACATCCTTACCTTGTCCACTTGTAAGTCCTTGTTAAAGACCCACTCCTGCCATACTGCTTAAAGTGAATCTAATATGCCTGGTTTTGTTCCCCTTCCCCCAACCTCCCTCTCTCTGTGTCTGTCCTTAGATTGTGAGCTCCTCAGAGTGGAGTCCATGAGAGTTTAGAAAGCTCCTTTCACATAGCGGGCATTAACATTAAGTAAATAAGGTGATTTGAGAGACTTTCCCCCTAGTGTCACTGAGGGCAGAGGCCTTGCTTCTCAGGGTACCCGAGCCCTTTCAAGCCATTTTAGTAGGAGACAAATTTAGAGAGCAGAGGGTGGTCCTAAAGGAGTTACACTGCCATCAAAAGCAGTTTTCCAAATGCAAGAGTACAGTATAAAAGTCTTATGAGGTGTCATTAATCCTGGAGTTAAAATCCCATTAGTTAATTTCTCACACCATGCCTTCATCAAGATAGAGGACCTGGCACTGCAATTAAATTAGAAGGAACCATATTTGTCTACTAACTTGGATGTGGAAACAGAAGGCACAAAGGACCGAACAGTAGTGCAGACTGTAGAGTTGGCCTTATCTGCTCAAGTCTTGTAAATCCTAGTGTAAAGGAATGGCCTGGTGGGAAAATATGTACAAGTTGACCATGGGTTCCAGACTTTAGTCCCCTATGTACTACTATAGCTATTGCAAAAACCTGAAGCATCTGGTATCAGATGGTATCAACATGGATACCAACTAGGCCTGAAGAGGGATGTCTCCAGCTGGATGTCAGGACCAGGATCAGCAAGCAAAGGGGAACTCACTTGGGAAAACTGTGTAGCAGCTCAGACTACATGCAGGGTGATTTGCTGTACCATAGTTCAATATCATTTCATATACCACTTTCATTATTATTGAGTACGTTACAGTAGTGTAACTAGGATCACAATTAATATCTGTCACACAAGGGTCATTCTCATCCTTTCTGCATGGGGAAGGCTGTAAGTGCGGCATAGTGCAGTTTTGCTTTGGCTAGGTTTTTTTTTTTAAATATACACACAGTTATGTAGGGGTTAGGAGTTCATTCCAGTGTCTCAGACCAACCCCTGAGAAAAGTCTCCGACCTAGATGAGCTTTACCCATATGGTTAAAGTTCCCCTGTGCCTGAGAAGCAGACTTGACAACCACGATTCTTCATCCCAGAGCTAAGCAATCTCACAGGTACTTGGCTCCGCACCACGGAGCAGCTTAAAGATAAGAAACAAGACCTTGAACTTGACCTGCTATTTCATGGGAAGCCAATGTTAAGAGTGACAGAAAGGTTTGATGGGCTTGTGATAAGCCTGGGTTGGTGAGGGAAGATGTAGTAGTTTTTTTGTGCCACTTGGAGTTTTCTAAGGCTGATGACTTCATGTCCAGGTACGTTGCACTGCTGTAGTCCAACTAGGAGGAGACAAGAACCTGAATAACTGGGGCTGTTTATTGTCCATGATAGGATGGAATTTCTTAGCCAGCCAGAGATGAGAGGAAGCACTAAACTCTCAGGTAGCAGTGAGAGGCTATCAGCAAGGAATCCAGGAATCTCTAAACTATGGTTTGATTCAGTGCACATCAATATTTCTTCAGCTAAACCACCAGTTGGGGTATTGGCCAGACTAAAACTGCTTTGCAGATCAGGAAATCCCTGAACACTAATCTCAATATCTGAGTTCCAGCTTGTTGCAATGTATCTCATACCTTCATCCCAGCAGACTGGTTGTGTGGTTACCATGTGGCTGGCAGGTTTTGAGAGACCAACCAATTCCATGCCCGTGGCCCACCCCCTGCCCAAAAAGTCTTTCCCATAGAGAGAACCAGAAAGATTTACTTGGCACTAAAGATGCCTCGACTCTTGAGTTCTTTAGAAAGGTGTGTAGGGTGACAAACCTAGAACACTACCTCAACTCCAGGAACTCCAATAGCTCAAGCCCCAATTGGACAAGGCTGGCACTAGAGCCATACAGGTTTGATCTTTGCTACTCTCAGTTAGAGTCAGACTGCTCTCATTGTCAAGAAGCAGACTCCCAACTTAGCTATGTTCTGTGGAGGATGGTCAACAAAAGCCAACTATGGTGAAAGGCTGCTAGCATACACAATTACCATCAGTACTCTCAGAAGAGAGGATCCTCTGTAGGTCACCCCCAAAGTATTAATAATACTTCCTCGTTTTTATAAATGGGCAATGAACATAATTAGTTTTGTGGAAATATGGGAAGCTTAGTGTAGGATAAGTGGGAGGATAATATACTGTAGCAACAGTTACATGGGTGGCAGCCCAGGCAAGCCACCCACCTACAATCCTGTCCAACCCCTGGGTATGTACTCAGACAACTACCCCAGCCACTACCTGTACAACAGCCACACTACTAGTTTTAGGCAGTAGCTTGAGCCAAACTAGCATGTACACCTCCCAGCTGCAGTGTGGGCACACTATTAGTCCACCCTCTCAGTGCATCAGTGCTCCTATCCCTAGTATTTCATACATAAGCTAGTTGCTCCTCAGCAATCACAGCTTTTTCCTACCCCTGCTGGCTGCTACTCCCCTCATCTCCTGAGGTAAAAACTAGCTTGTTGCCATCCCACCCCCCCCCTTTAATCCAATCACCATGGAGCTCTTCCCCCATCTTTCCTCCAACCTCCCGCAGAACACTCAATTGTGAGGCAAGCAAACCTGTGCTGTTTGAGATTGCTGAGTACTTCACAACCTCTGTAAATAGTGCAGCCACAGGGCTGAGCATGGTGCAGGGATGGGAAGGAGGAGGCAAATATCTCATCCAGAATCCTAATTTCAACCCCCACACCCAATCCTAGCAATACCAGCAGCCCTACACCCAGCCCCTACATCCTACAGCACCCAGAAAACTTCCCAGTCATTCCAGGGACCGAAATCCTAGAATATGGTGGATCATGAGACGACTGCCACTCTGTGGGTTTCAAGCCAAAACAGTTAAAAACTCCTTGGATAGGAGAGTCTGGGTCCTCATTTTCTGGAAAACCAAACAAAAAACCAGACTCATACTCACCAAGGTTTGAGGGATTCCAGCTAGCAGAGTGGAAGAGGAATAGATTGTCAGATAAGAGATCTTGGTTGCTGTGTTGTAGCCATGTTGGTCCCAGGATATTAAAGACAAGGTTCTTTTATTAGAAGATAAAAATTAGACTATCTTTGTATTAGAAGTTGGTCCAATAAAAGATACTTCACCTCACCCATCTTGTCTCTAGAGATCTTGTCCTTGGTGAATAGCTGATTAAACTTTTCCCACTCATTTTTAAATGGGTCTGTAAAATGTAGAAGGAATACACTTGGGAGGCAGAGCAGCAGTGATTGTAGCTTGAGATTAGCACTGCTTAGGTGGAGGTGGGTTGGCTGAGGGCACCAGCTTGTCCTCTGATCTCAAAAGCCTTTACCAGGTTTGGCCTGACAGTAGAGGACCACTGGATGGCCAGCAGAAATTACCCATCTGCTGAAAAATTAAATAGAAGAGTTACATCTTTTGTAGGTTACTGTACTGGCTTGTCCATGGTGTTAGTTGGCATTGAAAGTCCTTTGTTAACAAATGTAACAGACTTCCTCATTTAACAGTTAAGAGTCCTGGGGACAGCTGTGGGCTTGTCTACACATGGAGTTGTTCTTGATTAACTCCATGTATGGACACTCTTATTCTATAGTAAGCATCCACACATGGAGTTTTATCAGGAACAACTCTATGTGTAGACCAGCCCTCAGGACAGAGACTAGCAGCAGTCAGAAACGTTGAGACTTTTTGCCCCTTCCATCACCACCTTCGTTTCTATGCTCAGACTGAGTTTTGAAACTGTTTAGTCACATTCCAGCAGCTTGTTCTTTTGACCAGCTCTGAATGAGAACAAGGAAAAGCAGGAGATACCAGGAATCCTTAGTGCCAAAATCTTCAGTGCCTACTGCCTCCCACTCACCTATGAGCAAGTGATTCAGAATTCCAGGTAAAGTGTATCAGACTGCAGAAATGGAGAGATCACTTCTTTGGCTTGGATAGGATTAAACAATATCATCAACCTCAAATCTACAAAAAATCATGAAGCAGGTTCCAACCCTCCCCCACTTCCCCTGAGATTTATGAAAAGTAATGAGATTTTAAAAATAATACATTTGGGGGATTTGTCTGTCTTGCAGTTTGAGCTTTTAGGGTTATTGTTTTCAAGTTTCTCTCTGCAATCATAAGGACCAAAAAACTTTAAAAGTATGAAAACTGAGATTCTCATAACTGTAGGAAAAATTAAAATGTTTTGACTAAAAATGGTTATGGGGAAAACATTGTTTTGCCCACGTAAAAACAAATTCTTACAGCCATTACATTCAGCAGCTCTAGCGGGGCTCCAAGTCCCTGTTCCAAAGCACAAAGTTTGGCAGGAGGTGACTCTGGTGACAGGGATGTGCCTTAGAGATGAGTCTTGTGAAAGACTGGTAGATAAATTCTCCAAGATTCCAGATACACTGAGCATGCTCCATCCCCAAAGTTCCTCCAGGCCAGACTTACACCTGCTATTCCCACAGAGCAATTGAGCATGCTCTATCCCAAGACTGCAGAGACTGAACAGGACTTTTCCCCCTGCAATTACTTCTCACAGTGGCCCGGCAGCCACAGAGGCACTGGAACCAATAGCAGAGACACTTTTTCCTTTGCTTTGTTTTTGCTGACATCAAGGCAGCTAGAAGGCTGCTATACTGGAATGTAGAGGGATGACATATATTAGGGGAAGACTGAGAATAGACAGTTGCAGAAGTCAGGGATGGGTAGGCACAGAGGTGCTCTGGGAATAAATCAGGGTGGTGTAAGAAGCGGTTGTCAGTAGGACTCCTGCTTCATTTGGTGCAGAAGTCAGAAGATGTGTAGTTAATGAGGCAAGGGATTGCTGGAAGAGAAAGGATAGTCTCATGGTTAAGGCATTGTTGCCCCGGATACTGCATTCTATCCCTGCCTTTGCTGGAGTTTCTCTGTGATGCTGGTCAAGTAACTTAAACCAAACTTTTCACAGGTGGTCATTGTGTATTCCCTTTTTCTGGGTGCCCAACATGACACACCCGGGGCCAGATTTGTTAAAGTATTGAGTGCTCACAGCTGCAACTGAAGTTGACTGGAGCAGTGCTTTGAATATATAAAGTGCTATATAAATGCTAAGCACTCTGAAAAATCAGGCACTAGGTGTTTCAAGCTGGGCATCCAAAATTAGTGATTTAGAAAGAAATCTAAAGGCTAAAGAAGTTTAGCCTTTTTCTGTGCCTTAGTTCCCCAGCTGTAAAATGGAGATTCCACCACCACCACCACCTAATCTCACTGGGGTGTTGTGAAGATTAAGTTAATGTTTGTGAAGCATGCAGATACTATGGCTGAGAGTACCATGGAAATATCCATAAAGAAATTAATGTAATCAGTGCAGGGTTTGTATGGCATGCAATAAATAAAGCATGGGGCCACACATTGAACGTGGAGGATAAAGAGAAACACTGAATCATTTAGCAATTCACTAAATGAGGCATTGTGGAAAAATATAGTATGTGACCATGTAGTTAAAGACTGTATCCTAATGCATATGGACAAGGGAGAAGAATTAAAGTTTGCACACCCAACCTAAATTCTCATTATTTGACAGTGCAACCTTAAAATTCTTCTAATAAAGTTTCTGGAGTGTAGCATATATTTACTTCAACTACTGCACTTAAGTATATCACCAAACAGGTTATGGTAAAGCTTCATCAAAAAGCAAAACCAAAGCAACTATAAATGTTCTAGTTTTACAAAGACAAGACAATCCAAAATATTTTGTATATCTGATGATCTCTATTTGCCAACTGCCTCTCAAAAGCAAAGAATGTTAAAATACAACCTCTAGTGATTTCATACCGTTTTAGAAACTTGGAAAATATACTCCCATCCTAATAATTTTACACTTTCATCTTGCAAATATTTCCATTTCCAGTTGAATACATCATTTTTTTCCTATTTATGTTTGTGAGCATAAGTACAATCAGTATTTCAGAAAAAGGTTCACTTCTACTGCAAAACTAACAGAGGAACCCAACTGAACTAGGCTATTTAGGTAGAAAGCTTTTTAATGGAATTAATATCTATTTTAAATATTCTGCATCAGATTAGAATAAGTAGGTCAAATCTGGGACCTGAACACTTGACAAACTCCTTTGAGATTTAGAAAAAAAAAGCATGTCGGTCAATGCATCTCCTCACACATCCATTGCTTAATAGATCCATAAAGTAAAACTGAAAAGCTATGTCACCTTGAAAAAGATAAGGAAGACATTCTTGTAAGATGCTTTGTAAAAGATACAAGACATTTTCTTTAAAAAAACATTGCACAACAAATTCTAACCTAGTAGCTCTCAAAATGTTCGTAAGTAGGACCAGCTGTATGGTTAACAATTTATAGGGTAAAATTTTCAAAAGCACCTAAATGACTTAATAGCCTAGGTAACATTGTCAAAAATCAAAGTGAATAGGAGGGACCCCAGTACCTAAATCACTTTTGAAAATGGGACTTAGTTTTTGTCTGAACTAAGCAAGTAAGCCAAAGGGAGAAATTTACAGAAGAGCCTAACATGCAAAGAATAAGATAAGATAGTGCCTATACATTTTGTGCTATTCAATCTTTAAAAGACAATGGTGAATAAGCAGGTAGAACATAAATACCTGCAACCTGGAAAGGAAGTCTTCTGGAAGTTCTAGCAGGCTACAGTGTTTAAAAAAAAGTGTTATGAAAAAGTCTGCTTGCTTCCCAATTTGAATTACTTGTAATTTATTCCCTAATTTAGCATATATGTATATCATGTACACATGCCATTTGACTCAGACAACTGACAGAATAAATTGGCCTTTAGCTTTACTGCAATTTTTTTCCTTTGTAACTACAAAACTGCTAGAAATTGGCAGTCTGAAAAGCACCACTTTTGTCTTCACACCACTTACTATGAGTGTAACACAACCTTCCTCCACTGGATGGTCAACTCTATAGCAAATATAAAACTCCACATTAGAACAGTATTCAAAGTTTCAAAGATCACTGCATTAGCTTATTTTGTTTAAGTAACATACTTCAAACTTTGATGTGGAGTTCTACTAGCTAAAATTTGGTCAAAGACAGAAAAAAACCTTAAATCAATTTGAAAAGACAGTTTGATAGTTTTCAAAATAAGTTTTTGCATGTTTTATAGTATTTGATAGCAGCTTTTTATTGGTTACAAAACCTAAGCCCATATACAAAATTAGGAACACATTTAGATGCCTCTTTTGAAAGAACGTTTTAGTCTATTTTAACTGATAGTTTAAAAAAATAATAAAAACAATGCAATTTTTAAACACTTCTGAAAACGTAAAAGTGCAGCAATATACTTGGTTTCCTTTATTAACTATGAAATGGTGCAATCCCAATCAAAAGCTGATAAGGTCACAACAGAAAGAAATGAGCAAATGCTTTGTAGTGCTTTACTCAGTTCTCCGATGTTCACTTTTAATGTGATGCACTGAGTGCAAGAAAAAAAATTAGATCTTCACAGTTGTGGAAAATCATGAATGTAATCTCAATTTGTATGTAATCTCTAGGAAAATCGTGAGTGCAGGCTGAAAAGGGTAACTGTCAGTCTATATGGCATATAGAGAACTAAATTGAGAATAAAGAGGGGGAAGATTTGTTCACATCATCATCAGCTGGAACTCTAATTTCACAAAACTTTGTGACCTTACTAACTTTGACTTTATATTGTTTAGTTTTAGCAAACACCACACAGTTTAAAGATTTTAGACTATAGTATGTGACTAGGATGCAGTTACCATATGAAGCTTCAACTCAACTTTTGGGAAAAGAAAAAAAGGCACAATGAACTTCAACTCAATTTTATGTGCACAAGAGTTGAAAAATCTGAGCCACCTTAAAGAGAAATTGATTCTAAAATTTATAAAACCTATAAATAATCAGAGGCCAAACCACTATATTAAAACAGATTATCTAGCAAGTAAAAATCTTGCATTTTAAACATACGCTTGTATCTATTTAAGATACAAGACAACTCGCTCTTTAAAGTGGCTCCACCTTGGCAGATACATATTTAATGAATGCACACCTGCTATGTGTTGTTCATCCGTGGAAAAAAAACAGCTGATCCACAAAGCTCTGATGGCATCTGTCCTTATCTTCATCACAGTAAATACAACCCACATCCAATAACTAAATTAGTTTAGATTTTTCTATCCCTTCACATCAATGCATTGGGAAATTACACCCAGTAAACAACGGCAACAAAACCAGCTTGTGTGATAGCTTACAGAGTTTCAAATTATTCATCTTCACCCCACCAAAAGCAAATCCCTTTGAAAATAACTGGGCCAGACAACTTTCCGAAAGCAATGACCTCTCCTATTACCAGCTTATATAAAGTTACTTAATGTGTGCTGCATATCAGGCTTATGCTGAAACACTGCAGCTTCTAAACAGCCTCACACATCAACTAGCTTGTAATTTTTTAAAATCAAGTGAATACCATTTTAGACTCATTTCTGAATTACTCTTCCAATACTCCAAGAATGAAGCTTTTATGATGCTTCTAAATAGCTGCTGGTTTGTTGCCAACCACATCATCATAAGCACTGGTTACTAAGTAAAAAATAGTTTAAGACTAAATTACAGTAAACATGAAAGCTCCACAGTTTAAACCCAATATAAATCAACCTTATCCAATTATCAATTTAAAATGAAATATACTGACTACTGGAAGTTGAAAGCAAGATTCTTTTTAACCAATGCGTGGTTTTGGACAGATTTTTTTTCTCGTCAAGGACTCTTGCTTTCAGCTTAAACAGAAGTTCAAGTCCATAACAGGTTGTAGCTCAGGTAAAATACCATGCACAGCATCTGATTACTTCAAAACAGCAGGAACACACAGGCTGAAGTGAGTGGTCAAATAGGGCTCGCTGTTCTCAAAAATTAGGTATAACGGCAAAAGCTTTACCAGTCCAAATCTACAGTTCATTCTCCAACCCTGGTTTCTGAGGCAGTTAATGAACACACATCAATTACTGATAGATGAAGTAGTTTGTTTTTTAAACTTAACTGTTTAATCAATTGCCAAGTGTAAGTTACTTTTATTTCAGTTTCACCAATGAAATTCATTTGGCTTGCATTTTTGAATCTATTCTTCCACATAAAGTATATGAAAATATGTTTGTGGAGGACGATGGAGGCTCAGACCAAACTGTGCCCCTGTAAAGTCTTCCAAAATGTATGCATCATACCAAAGTGTCTTGATCCACAGCGCACCATTTTCCAAAGAAGTTACTTTTCCGTGGAAAGCAGATGTGCCACCACTATGAAATTTTCTTAACAAAACTGCAGATTGCGGTTGTCAGCATGTGGCACCAGGGAAAAAGGCAAAAAAAGAAGGTAATTGGGACTGTTAAAAAGAATTGTAAAACAGTTTAAGAGATCATGCATATGCATTTACAGTCCACGTGATAGTGACTTTTGGCAACTGCAAAGTGACCGATACATGGCTTGCTTTAGAAGCATCAAAACGAGGAGGCATGTGTGTCTTGGAGCCTTTTTTTTTTCACTTGGTAGCCATTTGGTGGTGCTTCGTATTGGTGTGGGACAGAGAAGCTGCACTGTATTGAACTTAAAAATTAAATTCTTTTGTTTGAAGATTGGCTGTTGGGTCAAAGTTGTAAGTACCTCCTTGAGTGGCTTCAGGAATGAGGCTGGGATCTTCATCAATCTATAAAGATATAATAAAAAGTAATCCATACAAACCCAACACCTTGTACAAGTCATTTAACATACAGGGATGCATAAATATTTCATAAATTATTGGCCAACTGAAATATTTTGTTACTAAAAAGTGAAATGTTAATAATTTTAGCCAATTCAATATAACTTTTTTTTAAAAAAGAAAAATCACGCTTTGTTCTAATGCCATTAAGGAAATAGATGCATCAAATCCTTATTGATTGTGTTACCACTTAATTACAGCAAAGACTCAACTACAAAATTAAGATTGAAATTTTAGCTTTCTACTATATCATCTAATCAATATTAGTGAAATCTAAAAACTAGTTTTGTGCTTTTCTCAGGGTTACCTATTGTATTAAATTGATTTTTATCTATAGCCGATAGGAATTCTTGTCTTTTTTTTTTTTTTTAAGTTAATCAGTATTTCCTCTTTGATTCTGAAGATTCTAACTTAAGTTATTTCAGAGTGATTTATTTTTTAAACTTCTCAAATTCCCAGTTGAATATACTATATTATTTTACAAAAGAAACAAATGAAGCTTGGTGTAGCATGCAAGCCATTAATATAGAAGAACCATGATTCAATTTCCCCTCTCAGAGTTTTAGAAGTTAGGCACACAGGTAACATTTTGTTTCTAGTGAAGGCTAAAATTGTTAATAGCATTACAATATGTACACCTGATTTCCAGCATACAGTCCACTGGCAGCAGCATTGAGCATGCTAGGAAAAGGTTACTTGCTGATATTTGTTCTGAATGTACTGGCTCTGAAAATCAGACTTCAGGAGCCACATGCCATGTCGCATGAGTTATTGAACCATTCAAAACAGTAAGGCCATCTGAGGGTGCATATACTGTTTACACACTGAGATCCAGTATTCTGAAACACTACAAAGATAAGTCGACCTATATTAGGTCGACTTAAAGCCACTGAATTAATTACTGTGGTGACTGATGTCCACACTACCCTCCTTGGGTCAGTGGTGTGCGTCCTCACCCTGAGCCCTTCCACCTACCTAAGAGGGGGAATGTGGGGAGCTGAGAGTCCGGTCTCTCAGCTCTGTTGGCAGCTCCCTGCTGGGAGCCCATCTGCCCTGTTGGGAGAGGAGGGGAAGCCACCCGGGGCTCCCAGCTGGGAACAGCGTCCATTCTTGCCCCAGCTCACAGTATCAACACAGACACTGCGCCGCCCTAACACCACCAACATAAGCCCAACACCTCTGGTTTTATTATGTCGGCACAGTAGGGGAGTTACATTGGTGGGAGGAGCATTTCAGCATGTATACCTCCACTCTTTTATTGACAAAAGCTGACTTTTGTTGACAAAACTGTGTAGTGTAGACAAGGCTTTAGGATTTTGGAGTGCTGACCCCTAAAATCCTTCAGTCCCTCTCTACTTCAGGAAACTCATTAACTCCTAAAGAGAGGGGAGGAGGAAAGGCTGTAGATCTGCTGAGCAATACATCTGGAGAACAAGTTACTGGCAAATAACTTTTCTCCATCATAAGAATGCTTATTACTCTAAATGGATGCCAGTGAAGCGCTAGAGGCAGCGACAATCCTCAGCAGAAAAGCTGAGTGCTAATTAAGAAGAACAAGAGCACTTTCCCAAACTGAGGATCCAATCTGGATTTAGAGTTGATACTATGCTTTGTTAAGTGTGATTGAACTACAACTAGCAGGACTGTCTTCTTCTACAAAGACATTACAAAGCAGCACACCAAGGTTGATACTTCTTTAGTACAAGGGGTCTATCATCCCTTAGGAAGTCAGGAGAGGGTTAGTCTGGTTTCTGAAGAAAAGGACCACACCTGCATGCCCTATTGCAGTGAACTACAAGGGAATAATGTAGAGTTAGTGGCACAGAGAGAATCAGTGGCCTCCAGTCTCCTCCAAAAGGGGAGGAGAAGACATTCCACAGGGGGTGGGGAAAGAAAAAGAAAAAAAGATGCTTCTGGGCTGGGAGCCCTAGTACTATCAGGCAGGTGAGGTAAATATAGCTTCTTTTCTCCTCATTTGTGTAATCCTGTGTGACAGACCCAGACCAGTGGGGTACAGGAGTCTGGTAGAGAGCAAATATACTGGTCACTGGCTGAACAGTTGTCTGTTCTCTGAGTGACCAGAGCAGGGGCTGCACTAGAGTAATCAGGAACCTGCTAGAACCAGTTAAGGCAGGCAGTTAATTAGGACATCTGGAGCCAATTAAGAAGAAGCTGCTAGAATCAATTAAGGCAGGCTAATCAGGGCACCTGGATTTTAAAAGAAGCTCACTTCAGTTTGTGGTGTGAGTGTGAGGAGCTGAGAGGGAGAGCTGCTGGAGGACTGAGGAACACAAGCATTATCAGACACCAGGAGAAAGGTCCTGTGGTGAGAATAAAGAAGGTGTTTGGAGGAGGCCATGGGGAAGTAGCCCAGGGAGTTGTAGCTGCCATGCAGCTGTTACAGGAGGTAACATAGACAGCTGCAGTCCACAGGGCCCTGGGCTGGAACCCGGAGTAGAGGGCGGGCCTGGGTTCCCCCCCCAAACCTCCCAATTGACCTGGACTGTGGGTTCTCCCAGAGGGGAAGGTCTCTGGGCTGTTCCCCAACCCACATGGTGAATATCTGAGGCAAGAAAATCTGCCAATAAGTGCAGGACCCACCAAGATAGAGGAGGAACTTTGTCACACCTATTAAAGGGCTTGGTTTGTTTGCCTTAGTCCTTAAAAGGGACAGAATACTGTTTTGGGTTTGATAGTTACTTGTTATAAATAACCACCCGAAGAGTGTTATCTAGCTTCATTTTGTGTTTCTACATAGGACCCTAAGACATACTGACATTGAAAATCCAGTAAAGTTATAACAGAGCTGCCCAAAAAACAAAACAAATAATCCACTGACTCAGTGTCCTATTTACTCCTGGGGGAATTCTGCAGAATTCATGTCCCCCACAGATTTCTTTGCTTCCCTACAGAAAAATGACTGATAGGGAAGCAAAGGTAAGCTGCAAGAGCAGTCACTTGCCCCTCGCCAGCAGTGCAGGTGTGTCATTTTGAGCAATGCAGAACCCCCACCCTGCCAAGCCTTATCCCCTTGCATCCATTCAATTGGTATTCAATTGTTTAACAGTGTGATTAAATCACAATTAATTTTTAAAATCATGATTAATTTTTTGAATTAATCGCGTGAGTTAACTGCGATTAATCGACAGTCGTAGTCTAAACCCCTAATTACCTGACACCAAGAGTCAAGTTTCCTTGAAAACAGACTGCACCACAGCTAGGTGATTCTAAAGCAAACCTTCTACAGCATCTAGAAGCCCTTTGTTTGTGGGAACAACTACCTGGCTCCTTCAACACCAGAAGGTCAAATATCACATGATTTACTATGGACTGAAACAAGAGGAATGTCAGACGCTGCCATCCTTTCTACTAGATCCTAAATGCCTTCAGGTCCCTCTGAGGAGAGGAGAGGAAAGGACAGGAAGGGGGGGGGGGAGAGGAATGGCTCAGTGGTTTGAGCATTGGCCTGCTAAACCCAGGGTTGTGAGTTCAATCCTTGAGGGGGCCACTTAGGGATCTGGGGCAAAATCAGTACTTGGTCCTGCTAGTGAAGGCAGGGGGCTGGACTCGATGACCTTTCAGGGTCCCTTCCAGTTCTAGGGGATAGGATATCTCCATTTATAAAAAATAATAATAATAAAAAGAAGCATCAGATGACAAAGATGGGGGGAGGAATACTTCTGATGAATGACACCCAGCCTGTTACTCTGATACCAAATCCTTCAGGACAGAAATGGAAATTCTTATCCTGACAGCACTCTGCTAAAGGTATGGAATATTTTGGGGGAGGCAACCTAGATATCAGTTTTCCTTCATCCTTTTTGCTGGAACCAACTCTCCAAAAGAGCCTGAATCAGGAAGAGCTGGAGCCCACGAGGGTCAAAACTCCCAAGGAGGACAAAAGACAAGAAGGTGGATATACATCTTATTCTGAAACAATTGACTCCCACGGGCAGCAGCAGATGGCCAGAGTGACAAAAAGGTATCTAGAGGCAGGAATAACACTGCCAGAAATACAGCTTCAGAGCCTTCAGCTCTGTTCTTTAGTGGCTGCTCCTTCTCCCCACAGAAGCAAAACCATGACTGATTAGACCTCTCTGAGATGGCGATTTCTCAGTAAGAAAGGATGCCAACATAGGAAAGACTGTTTTTATGAGAAAATAAAGAGGTTATTTAGAAGACAGATCCAATCTGACTAATAAATCCCATTGCAAAGCCCAAGGAGTGCAGGATCCAGACACCCAGCATCTGAGGAAGTCCTAACTGCTTTTGACATCCCAGGATTTGAAGAAATGCGTGCAACTAAGCAGGGCTGGACCTGAACCAACCTTTGGATATGACTGACTTATATCCTGGTGCCTTTTTTCATGCAAATCCCTTGAACTTTTACACACTTTTTAGAAACTCTGGACAGTGACTTAGGATTCCCTATAATCTGAGGTGCATAAAATCACAGAATCAGAAGTGTAGGACTGAAAGGGACCTCAATAAGTCATCTAGTCCAGTCCCCTGCACTCAAGGCAGGACTAAGTAGTAACTACTAGACCATTCCTGACAGGTGTTTGTCTAACCTGCTCTTAAAAACTTCCAATGATGGAGATTCTATGACCTCCATAGGCAATTTGTTCTGGTGTTCAACTACCATGACAGATAAGAAGTTCTTCCTAGTGTCCAGCCTAAACCTCCCTTGCTTTAATTTAAGCCCATTGCTTCTTGTCCTATCCTCAGAGATTGAGGGGAAAAAATTTCACCCTCCTCCTTGTAACAGTTCAGCTGCTTTACATCCAGAGGACGGACCCAAAAGTCTTGGATTCTTTGTCTGGTCCTAGGGCCTCCAACTCAGATACTTTAGACTGTAGACGCAATCCACTCAAATCTCCAGGAGAAAGCTCCTCACTCCACCAAGCACTCCAACAGGATGGACTTCATCCCACAGTGGACCTTCTAAAGAAGCCTCAAAGTCATTTGAGTAAACATATCTTGAGCTAACATTTCATGGTGATCGGATTGTTGGAAACTAATATTTTGGAGGAACAAGATCACCAAGCAGTCAATTGTTGCTATACCTGCAATTATAACAAAATACCACTCAGGACAAATGTCCAAGAAAATGTTAATCACCATAAAAACTATTGATTTCACTGTGCAGGAATAGTTGGCACAGATTGAAACAGATTTGTGGTCACAGAACGAAACCCAATAAGAAGAGTGGAACTGAGGGAGTAATGGGGAAGGGACCTCTTCCTTGGCACTGAATTCTAGGATTATACATGCACCCCTTAACAGTTTTACTGTCCTGAATGGTTCCATAGCTTCTACACAGGACACGTGAGGCCTGGCGTGGTAATCTGAAGGAGAACTGCTGGCATCAAACAATTTTTAAGGACCGTGCAGGGTTAATCATAATATCTGATATAAATCTATTTTTAAATAAAGTATATAAAACTTGATTTGCAAGTACATTTTCTTCTAATGATAAACTTTTCAACTTTAGAAGATGTTGTAGTGTGGGCTAGCTTTTACTGGTTTATTAGGCAAAAAATGAATTGCCCGTCTTAGTCAATGTCTGTTTGAGGCAGTTTCTTGGTGCAAGAAAGGAATGAAAAAGATGGAGTAGGTACAGGTCAAAGAAGTCACAGAAGGGAAGGAAACCATAGAGGGAGAATGGAAGATTGAGAAAGTATCTTAATTAAAAGATTAAGACAAGCTGTACAGAAAAAGGTAGGAAAATATCCTCCGAACAACCCATGTCCATAAAGGGGGATGACTGAAGTAAAGCTGACAATGTAGTTACAAAATTAAAATATGGAGTACAAAAGCATTCACACCAGACATTTCATACATCTATAACCACACACAGAGCATTCTTTAATGTACTTACATCATCACCAGAGAAATACTGATCTATGATTTCAAATGCTAGTTTATAGATGTCCTCATTCTCGTGCTGTTGCAAGGCTTCAATTTTCTCTAAACCTGGCAAAATGACAGCAGGAATAAAAGCGTTCAACGGGTTAAAATGAAGTTTGTTAGTAGCTACTTTAGGTTAGCATTTTAGACATAACAAAATACGGTCTTTAGTTACATTAGTACCTCTCAAGACATACTGGAGTACAAGGATGGTCACGATGGAGCCTAGTTTTCAAACATGACCCAGAATGTTCTTTCAAAGTTGTCATTTTCATCTTTAAGACAGAGGTGTGGCTTGTGGAATCTACAGGTCTTGGCACAGCCCGCTTCCATAGGCCACCCACCTTAATGATGATGCGGAGTCAAACCTGTTCTTAAAAGCCTCCAGGGCAGCTGCAATCCATTCCCTTTTATGTAAGTTAGGTGAAGCACTCAGTTAAGCAAACCTTGTGCATTTCTGCTGTATAGCATGTATCCTTTGTCCCATACAGACATTGTACATCTTGGCAGGCTAAAAGTGGTTCCACATTAGAGTAGCATACCAAGAGTGAAATGCAAACAAGGTGACAGAAGAACATAGCTACAGTAGTTTAAAATCATAACTTCATTTTTGAACAGGGGGGGGGACCTTTAAGACATTCATTTGTCTCTAACTTGCTTTTGAAAAATTAACTTGCCATCATATCTAAATTGCTGATGTGTGATTTAACAGGGACTTGCTACCTCAAGCCCAACTTCTCTTTCTATTTTAATTCTGCAGGGAAGTCAAAATACTAACATCCATTCCCACTGCAATGGAGTGATACAAAACCACGAGTTTTACTGCCTGTGCTTGATCCTGCAGGAGTTGGGTGGAAATAACGCTCTCTTTAAAACAAATCTGAAAAAGATACAGAAAGCTACTACTGAAATACACTGGTCTGTGGAAGTATGTCCTCGCCCCACCCTGCCACCAAGTGTCCGCCAATGTGAAAATCACTCTAAATAAGTTTCACTAAATAGAAAAAAGCTATAATAGCTACAAGGTAATGTATTTTTTTTCCCTTTCTGACAGTTTCATCCACTTATTCAAATACCACATAAGGACCAATTGCTGGTGTTATGTGGCATGTGTCAATGGCCGTAAGTCAGGGGTTCTTACAACAAATTTTTTGGTGGCCTCAGTTCAGCCACCACCTCTTGCCACAGCCCTGGGGCTAAGGCCTGAGCCTCGCTGCCCCTGGAAAAGTGGGTCAGGAATTCAGTGGTTGCCCGGCCCCCTGTGTCGCCAGAGGCGCTGCCCAGATCCCCTGAGGAGACTGCAGTGCAATGTGCTGATCCTGTTGGCAGTACCAGCAAACACCAAGGCAACACATCCAGGAGCAACACTGGGCACTGCAGGGAGGAGCCGCTGCTTTGCCTCCCCCCCCCCCCCCCAAATCACTGCCTAGGAGATTATCGTGGCAGCAAAAAAATCTGGTGGGGGCTACATGTGGTCACGGTGGACATGTTTTAGAAACACTGCCTTAAGTACTGCACTGGTTCTGAAGAAGGAAGACAAAGTGATCCATAGCAAATAAAAGTTTAAAAAAAGCCCAACAAATAAAATCTTACCTCCACATTCTTCTATAATTTCAGCTATTGTGCTAGCCTCATCACCAGCCATTATCAGAATGTTTTTCAGCCCATCCAGGACCACCTGGACCACCTGAGAGTCTTTTACTGACAGTAAATTACAGAATGGTGGTATTACGTTCTGCTGTACAAGATATTCAACCTAAATAGGGGGGAAATGCCTTCAGAATTATATACGATTAATCTTACAATACACTACATTTTAACAACAGCCTGAAAGTCAGTCACACACACCTGATCTTTTCTTCCACTTATCGTCAAGTTGCTAATTGCCCATGCAGCTTCCTTTTGTGTTCCAAAGTCCCCCTGAAGGGTAAAATTGATAGTTCATTAAAATTAGCAAGCATACAGCTGTAAAGCTTATTAACTCAAATATTCCATGTCAGACTTATAAAAAGATGATGATAAACTTGCGTAACTGACAGCTTGACTGACCTTAGCCAGCTGGTGTATGATCATAGGGATTAGTCCAGCATCTATTACAGCTTGAACTTGTTGCTGGTTTCCTGCTGTGATATTGGACAGGAACCAAACTGCTTCCTACAATCAGACAAAATGAGAAACCACCTTTCTTTAGAAATAATTTAAGTCTTTATACATGGCTAAAAAGCATTACCTATGAACTACAATGACACAAAAATAAAGCATTAAATAAGTCCAGCAATTCTTCATCAATCTGTTCCACCATGTGTTCCTTGTCCTAGAAACACTTATTCCCTGAAAAAAAAATCAAGGATGGTCTTCACTACAGGGAGATAGATGATGCTGCTGCAATCAATGCAGTTGGGGTAGATTTAGCAGGTCTAGTGAAGACCAGCTAAATGGACATCAGAGCCATCTCCGGTAGACCCTGGTACTCCACCTCTCAGAGAAGAGTAAGGGAAGTTGACCAGAGAGCGTCTCCCATCAACGCAGCGCAGTGAAGACACCAGGTAAGTTGACCTAAGCTATGTTGACCAGTTACATTATGACTTAGGTCCAAGTAGTAATGACAAGCCCTCAGAGGCATTCAGTGAGCTTTAGAGTAAATCTGGCTTCTGTGACTGCAGTTTCAATTTGGCAAACTATATAGGCCAGGGGTTCTCAAACTTGGGGTCGGGAGGTTATTATGTGGTGGGACATGAGCTGTCAGCCTCCACCCCAAACCCCGCTTTGCCTCCAGCATTTATAATGGTGTTTTTATTTTATATAATAAATAAAACATATTTTTAATTTATAAGGGGCGGGGCGTTACACTCAGAGGCTATGTGAAAGGGGTCACCAGTACAAAAGTTTGAGAATCACTGATATAGGCCTTCAAATGACACACTTAGGTACCAAAAAGCCAGACTTACACCCGTGGCCCTCTGTCTGTCTTATCCCATGTGCTAGAACATCCAGCGCTCCCCACCTCTCCCCCAGACAGCTTCTATAATGCAATCATGTGTTTCCAATACAAAATTCTGCAACACAGTGAAAGCTAAAGACATAGGGGTCAATATAAAATAAAGTTTAATGGGACTTTAAATATACACTTAGTACATTATCCACTGGACCAGCCTCATTTACACTAAGGCCCCCCAGTACATTTTGCAGTTATAGTTGAACCCACTTTGACAACTCTGCACTGCTAGAGTCAGTATAATTAAGGATCTGACCTTCTGTATTTATTGTCAATTTAGTTAAATAAAACTATATTGAGTCAGGGAATCCAGAGGCCTGACTGCAGATTTTAGCTCAAATATGCTTTGAATTACTTGGGAGGCGGGGGGAGGAGAGGGGTTTGCTTATACTGTTTATTGAAACTCAGATGTGAGAAGTTTTAATCTCTGATTTTTGCATATAAAACTAGAAATGAATAGAAGACCCTCATCCTAAGAAAATGAAATAACCAATAGTTTAGTCAGTAGTGGTCTTCTGCACTGGCACAAAAAAAGACCTGGGTTCAGTTCCTATTTCCATTGTCTTCTTGGACCAGGGAGTGGTGTTGATGCAATTCATTCAAGGCCCCCTCACTGGGCAGACAGGTAATCCTCATGTTGCTCAGTTATCTTTTCAGCAGCAGAACCAAGTCTCAAGGAAATCACACAGTTCTTTTTTAAAAGGGCTATATAGGAAGAGTTACCAAGAACTCCCATAGCAGATTCAGAGAACACTCCCAGACGGTCCTTTTGTAAAAGGAAAAATAATTCAAAGCTCAAAATAACGAGCTCATATGGTTCTTTCCTGGGAGCAGCTGTATCCTGAGCCTCACTCTCTTCAGGGTTACTAGCGTCCAAATGTAAGCTGTTTGTTTTTTTTTAAAGAGGGGGTTATGACCCCCTTTAAATAAACCCAGAAATAAGCCCCACTCCTTGTCATGACATCTAAGAAGCAGCTCCTAGAGTCCTTTCTGGGAGCAGAAAGTAGTAGGATACAGCCCAGCAACTGCAGCTGTATGTCAGAGAGAACTCCTTCAGGGCTCCTAGCAACTGGCAGGGGCTAGGGGGAGCAGAGGGCAGTCACCAGGGGACCTCCTCTGCAGATAACACAGGGGAGGGAGTAAGTGTATGTATCCTGAAAGACAGGAAGCTTTTCCTCCATTCACCTGTCTTTTTGGTGGAGGGGGCATCAAAGAGGGGTGAGGCAGCGCTTACTGAACACAAACTGCCCCACCCACACCTAAACAAACAAGTAACCATAGCATAGGAACGGCTCTGAGTACTTCCTCCCATTAACTTCTCCACTTCCTGCACACACAACAGGGAAGCCCACTGACAAAGCTGGAAGGAGAGAGGAAAGGAAGCACAGGCTGTCTTTCCCCTTCTCTTCAAAGCAGAGGAATCCATATCCCCCTGAAAGCACCAAAGGCGGTGACAGGAAAAGGGAAGCTGGGCAGAAGGCAATAGGTCTGCTCTCCTCCGGGTAGTGCTTCACAAGAGTGCTCTGCTATATGAAGTGAAGAAGCTGGAGTGACCTTGCCTGTCTCAGTGGGAGGGAATAGGATTTCAGAGCCCGAGTGACTGTTCCCATGAAGAAGATAGTTTGCATACTGAGTAACGTCAGACAGGATGTTTGATCGGCAGGAAACTAACTGCTCCCATCCTAGCAGAGGCACTTTCTCCATTCTCCATGAAGACTATTTAAGCAATATAGAGACGTTTTAATGGTTTGGTAGGCACTAGTGGTCAACATTTAGGGTTCTCTCTGCTCTACACATCCTGCAATGGAAGCTGGTAGGATGCCAGTTGCTGTCAGAAGCCTCAGGATGCTCCTCAGATGCCGCAGTAGAGGGTATGATTTATTCCTGGTATAAAAATGGGGCTTCTAGAAGGCATTTAGCTCTCTTCTCCCTTTAACGAAAATCACTCTACCTCCATCTCCTCCCCCACAAAAAAGGAAAACCCCATCTTCCCTTTAAAATGACACTTATGTTGGGCAATTACTAACAATGGCCTTCCCTTTCTTCAAGTGAGGCTCAGAAAACCATCTTAGCGGAACTAACAGAGATTCTACTCAAACAGTAGCTGCCTTTAAATCGCCAAAAATAAGCATAGGTAAAAACTTTCCAGAGAGCCAAAACTGGGAAGGTGGCGGAGCAAATATTATAGTGCTGGATGAGTGATAGGCTAGTAATTATAATATTTTGAAGGGCACATTTGCTTTTCCTGTGGGCTCAACTGAAAGTGATAATACTTATTTATGAATATTAACTGCAATGCAGATGACTCAATTCTCATATAGTGATATAAAGTATTGTATTTCAATGCTAAGATTACACTTAGGATAGGTATCTTTAGATCACAGGATAGGTATCTTTAGATCCTTGAAACAGATACGATGTACAATAGGGCACTGGAGCCAATGTGTGTGTCCCTGTATGCCTGTTACAGCCCTCAGGCCCTTACACCTGGAAGCAGTAGTTTCAGGTCACATGCTTGTTCCTAGTCATGTGCCCTAGAGGTAGCTGGATAGAAGGCTTCCTGCCTCTTAAACAGAAGAGCAAATAGGAGAGACCCAGCCTCTCCCAAGGAGCTAGGAGAGGGGTGGGCAAACTTTTTGGCCTGAGAGCACCATCGGGTTCCCAAACTGTATGGAGGGCCGGGTAGGGAAGGCTGTGTCTCCCCAAACAGCCTAGTCCCCGCCCCCTATCTGCCCCCTCCCACTTCCCGCCCCCTGACTGACCCCCTCAAAACCCCCAACCCATCCAACCCCCCCCCCAGCTCCTTATCCCCTGACCGCCCCCTCCTGGGACCCCCCCGCCCCTAACCTCCCCCCTAGGACTCCACCCCCTAATCCAACTGCCCCCATGCTCCCTGTCCCTGACTGCCCCCCAGGACCCTCTGCCCCTTATCCAACTCCCCCCTGCCCCCTTACCATGCCGCTCAGAGCCCGGCCGGAGCCAGCCAGAGCACTGGCGGCACGGGGAGCTGAAGCTGCGAGGGAGGGGGGACAGGCTGGGGGACAGCCTCCCCAGCCGGGAGCTCCAGGGCCGGGCAGGACGGTCCCACAGGCCGGATGTGGCCCGCGGGTCCTAGTTTGCCCACCTCTGAGCTAGGAGATGCCTTTCCATGTGTCAGGCAGAAGGCCCGGGGAGGGGACCACGAAGAGCGAGCAAGAGCACACAACGGGAAGCCTCTGTTGAGGAGGGCTGTGAAGCTCTGGAGATAGCTTTTTATCTTTTTACTGTGCCCTGTTGGGAAGTAAATCTGTTTTGGGTTGCTTTACATTTGTTTCTAAATTAATAAAGAAAGCCCTGAAAAAGGAACTAGATCTGTGCAGCTGGTTTGAGTGAGTATAATTTTCCTCAGTTGGTGGATCAGACCACCAGCTCACACAGTCTTATTAAATCTGTGCACACCTCTGGCACTATATAAATAAGTCTGCCAGGAGTGAAAACTGGAAAAAAAAAAAAAAAGTGTGTAGGTTTCAATATTGCTTTCACTGTTGGTCTGAAGCAGAGGAGTTCCAACCACATCTCTCCTACATGTACTCACCTTTGGTATTTATATGCTGTAAAATTTTACAGAAGCAACATTTTTATCTGAAAAGACAGTATTTTCCGCTCTTATTAAAGTAGTCCCTTTAAGTGGGATTGCCAATCATATCTCAAAGAGAATAGTTTGTGGCCACTATGCAGACATGGTTATTAATGGAAGGCTTTAAACTGTTTTAAACTGTTCCCTAAAGTTAAAAAGAATAAAATAAATAAAAAGTAGTTGGGAATTCTGCTTGCCACGTGCTACAAAAGGAGAGATATTTTGTTTTGTCAACCTAAAAGGTGAACCTAGAAACAAAACAAAAATGAAAATAAAACCAAAATATACCTTGTTTATCTTCTCTTTTGGATGCGTCAGGAGATTTGGGAAGTGAGAGAGAACGTCACAGTTGAGAACAACTTGTGTTTGTTCATCAGTACCAGTTACTATGTTGCCTACTGCTCTCAGTGCTGCTGTCTACATTTGAAGAAAAGAAAGTAATAAGACATTACTGCATGCATTGTAACTAAAAAAAACCATGATAGTGTTCCTTTAAGCCAGTCATTTCCTGAAATATAATTTAACATTGTATCTTCAAAACCAGGCTCAGCAATATGCTGAGAGTGAGCAAGGTGGAGTTCTTGCACCACCTCTCCGCAAAGTGAAAAGGCAGAGTACAAATATTTTCTTGAGTGAAAAAGTTCCATCAGAAGTCAAGGAGAGTGCGAGATTTCAAAGTTATTAAAAAGAAAGATTAAGGAACTTGAAACTGAAAGAGAAGAAGATGACTGAGAAGACCAATTAATTAAGAGGTCTGATTTGAGTTACATTTAATGTTCCCATGCTTTTTCTGTATCTCCCCAGACAGCTATTCAACTCAGATCTGTGCTACAGTAACATTACAAGAACTCCCCATTTTTCCCCTTCCTACTAAGTACTGACTCTCAAATTGCTCTCAGTAGGCTCTAGATCTTTATTCATTAGTCAAGTAATTAATGTTTTCACAACTGACAATATATTCAAAATACTCATATTTTTTTTAAGTAAAAAAATTCAGGACAGCCAAAGGAAATAAGAACTAAGAAACATGATAAGCATACAGATACCACAAAAAGGTCCTATTTTGCACCATGGCTTCATAGTACTAAAATTTTTAAAGGTGAAAATTTTATCTTAAAGATCCTCTCATTTCATCACATTTTTGACCTGGCTAAACTAGATTGGGTCCCTACCTTCTACAGGGAAATACCAATTTTCCTTACTAAAGAGGATTATAGCATCTGAGTTTATTTTGGCACTCAAAGGTCCCAAAATAACCATTCTTATCTCCAGGATTAGGTATCAGCATATACAGCACCTGCTCTTCTTCTTCCTATACCCAAGGTAATACATGCACCAAATAACAGAGGATTACAATTCAGGAAAACTTGAAGGTTTTCGCCCTTGCAAGAACAATGGCTAGAAACAGTCTCAAAGTTAAATAAATAGATTGCGGGGAGGGGGGGGGAGAGGGAAGAGAGAAAAGACCCTTTAGGTAATCTCTTTCTGATGCCCTACTAAATTATCTATCAAACCTTTGTAGATTAGAGTGAAGTTTAGGGATTGTTCATTATATATTCATTATATATTCCTTATGGTAAATTAATGTTTGAATACTATGTGTCATATATCATATATACATAACATGTTCAAGTTTTACTTTTATTTTCTTCAGTTCTCATCAACTTGAAGTTTTTTCTACCATAGAACATTTGTAAGACTTAACAATGTGGCTATCTGAAGATCTGTTTTGTTATAATTTAATATTTTTAATAATTTAAAAAAAATTAAAAAGGTGTCTGGGATTTGAAAGCTCAAAAGAAGAATCAACACAAGTACGAGAGCAGCAGAACTGATAAGAAGCCAAGAGTCTCAGGACATCACTGTACAAAAGAGACTGAAATTTTAGGGATAAGGCAAGAGTAAAAGAGATTAGACTGGATAAAAATGCATTACAGATTATAGAAGACGAAACATAAAAATACTAATTGATCAAAAAATATTTTGGTACCACAAGTCTCATTATACTTTTAAAAAGGAATGTGAAGTTGACAACCACTCAATGGAAGACATTTTAATGGGTATCATTTCTTGCACAACTTGTATTCATTTTTTTTACACAAAGGTCACACACCAGGAGATTGTACATATACCTTCAATAGACGGCTATGGAAATTCTATTAAAAATATCTACATATTAGAAAACAATTTAATCTGAAGAGTTTCCTACAACTAAACTAGGGCCTGACAGATCTTTCAACAAGACTTTAGTGACCTGCACAGACCTATTTCTATACCAAAAACCTTGGATTAATGTAGCATGGCCCAATCCCCCAACATGACTTCTCACCCTCACTACATCCCCAGTTCACCACTTACCATCACCTCCTCCCACTTTAGGTTTGTGTAGTGCAGACATGGCAATTTGTATTAGCTAGTAGGGGTTGACCTTAGGAGGGGAAGCCTTGGACTGATCCCCTCCAATACACACATTAAAATACAAGCTTCCCCATCTACACAAGGATAGTAACACATTTCAAAAACATGCCTTCTTTCCTAGTAGGGACACTGCCTTTGGGATCCAGTTTTAAATCTAATTAACTAACATGATTGTAAATGCTAGTCTCACCACTCAACAAAAATTTTTTTTTTTCCAGGACACATGGAAAATAACTTACTAAAAGTATTCATAGAATCAAAGAATATCAGGGTTGGAAGGGACCTCAGGAGGTCATCTAGTCCAACCCCCCTGCTCAAAGCAGGACCAATCCCCACCTAATCATCCCAGCCAGGGCTTTGTCAAGCCTGACCTTAAAAACCTCTAAGGAAGGAGATTCCACCACCTCCCTAGGTAATCCATTCCAGTGCTTCACCACCCTCCTAGTGAATTTTTTTTCCTAATATCCAACCTAAACCTCCTCCACTGCAACTTGAAACCATTACTCCTTGTTCTGTCATCTGGTACCACTGAGAACAGTCTAGATCCATCCTCTTTGGAACCCCCTTTCAGGTAGTTGAAAGCAGCTATCAAATCTCCCCTCATTCTTCTCTTTTGTAGACTAAATAATCCCAGTTCCCTCAGCCTCTCCTCATAAGACATGTGCTCCAACCGCCTAATAATTTTTGTTGCCCTCCGCTGGACTCTTTCCCATTTTTCCACATCCTTCTTGTAGTGTGGGGCCCAAAACTGGATACAGTACTCCAGATGAGGCCTCACCAATGCCAAATAGAGGGGAATGATTACGTCCCTCGATCTGCTGGCAATGTCCCTACTTATATAGCCCAAAATGCCGTTAGCCTTTTTGGCAACAAGGGCACACTGTTGACTCATATCCAGCTTCTCGTCCACAGTAACCCTTAGGTCCTTTTCTACAGAACTGCTGCCTAGCCACTCGGTCCCTAGTCTGTAGCAGTGCATGGGATTCTTCCATTCTAAGTGTAGGACTCTGCACTTGTCCATCAGATTTCTTTTGACCCCATCCTCTAATTTGTCTAGGTCCCTCTGTATCCTATCCCTACCCTCCAGCGAATCTACCACTCCTCCCATCTGCAAACTTGCTGAGGGTGCAATCCACGCCATCCTCCAGATCATTAATGAAGATATTGAACAAAACTGGCACCAGGACTGACCCTTGGGACACTCCGCTTGATACCGGCTACCAACTAGACATGGAGCGATTGCTCACTACCCGTTGAGCCTGATGATCTAGCCAGCTTTCTATCCACCTTATAGTCCATTCATCCAGCCCATACTTCTTTAACTTGCTGACGAGAATACAGTGGGAGACTGTATCAAAAGCTTTGCTAAAGTCAAGGAATAACACATCCACTGCTTTCCCTTCATCCACAGAGCCAGTTATCTCATCATAGAAGGCAATTAGGCTAGTCAGGCATGACTTGTCCTTGGTGAATTCCTGCTGGTCACTTTCCTGATCACTTTCCTCTTCTCTAAGTGCTTCAAAATTGATTCCTTGAGGACCTGCTCCATAATTTTTCCAGGGACTGAGGTGCGGCTGACTGGCCTGTAGTTCCCTGGATCCTCCTCCTTCCCTTTTTTAAAGATGGGCACTACATTAGCCTTTTTCCAGTCATCTGGGACCTCCCCCGATCGCCATGAGTTTTCAAAGATAATGGCCAATGGCTCTTCAATCACATTCACCAACTCCTTTAGCACCCTCGGATGCAGTGCATCTAGCCCCATGGACTTGTGCTCGTCCAGCTTTTCTAAATAGTCCTGAACCACTTCTTTCCCCACAGAGGGCTGGTCACCTCCTCCCCATACTGTGCTGCCCAGTGCAGTAGTCTGGAGCTGAACTTGTTCGTGAAGACAGAGGCAAAAAAAGCACTGAGTACATTAACTTTTTCCACATCCTCTGTCACTAGGTTGCCTCCCCCATTCAGTAAGGGGCCCACACTTTCCTTGACCTTCTTCTTGTTGCTAACATACCTGTTTAATTATTATCAATGAAATAAAAAAACAGACTTACTTGAACTTTAACCTCCTGATGGCTCAGAAGGGGAACTAGGAAAGGTACAACGCCTGAATCAATGACCATCTGTATCTGTTCATTACCACCATCTGTTAGGTAGGACAAAGCCCAAACAGTGTCCACAAGAATCTGCAGGAAGCAGAAAAGAACAGACAGCTTATACACTGAGCGTAAGACTGCATCTGAATTGTGTGATCAACACTCCACAAGTCTTTTTAAAAAAAGAGCATGCAATTTAGCCATAGGAAGAGCTCAGAAATGCTACCAGGAGAAACAGTTAGCTAGAATGTTATGATGGCAACTACAATGGTTAAACAGATGGTCATTTGTTCCATCAATAGTTCAAATGCATCACATGTGCTCGTCACAAACTTGGGGGGGGGGAGGGGGGTTAATTAAAAAAACAAAACACTTTTTGGGTACAGTTGGGCCTGGTCAGTATTTCAATGGAAGACAATCAAGGAAATCCTAAATCCTAGGTGATGAGGATTACTGCTGGAGTTACTATCTGTTGATTAAGACAGAAGTTGCCTTATGGTCATATTAAGAGAGACCATGTGTTGGTTTTAAGAGTTGAGCACTGAGTCGGAGAACTAGTCTAATTCCTATCTAAAATTCTAACTGCAATTTTAGTTAGAAGAAGTCTTATTCAAGTCCTGTTCTAAACTGTTGTGCAATGTTACTTGGTGCTTTTAAACAGCTACTGCAGTCTATTTGAGATTGCTACACTGCAGTAATAAGTGAATGTAGTAAACACACAGAGACTTTAATCCTAATCTTGAAGGATGCATGAATATATATACATACATATTAATACACTGGGTTTATTCTGGAAAAGAGATTATTTATATTATAGCTGGAGCTGGTAGTGATCCCTATTATTTAGGGTGCCTAATACTTTCCATTAAAGAGAGTCTTGCAAACTTTTGTTTTTAAAAGCTCTCACCTCTCCAGTGCTTGCAGACGACCTTTGAAAATTGGCTGAGAAATCTTACAGAACTAGAAAGGTGTTTTTTCTTTGACCCATGAATTTCTGTTTAGGTTTGGTTAAGTTATAAACTGTGAAGTCACAATTTCCCATCTCTTACTTGTGTTCCATAGAAATGTTGACAACATGCTAAAACATTAACTGAAAACGAACATTCAAAAGAGCCAGGTCCATTATCAAAACAGTAGCAGCACCTCCACATCACACTGTGCAGGTGACTGCTGAACCACCTCCCAGACCAGGGGTGGGCAAACTAGAGCCCGCGGGCTGGATCCGGCTGGTCGGGACTTTGGATCTGGCCCGTGGGATTGCCCCCCGTGGCGGAGTGGGCCCTGCGCCGTTTCTGGAAGCGCCCAGCACCACATCCCTGTGGCCCCTGGGGGAGGGGAGGGCTCTGCGCGCTGCCCTCGCCTGCAGGCACCGCCCCCCACAGCTCCCATTGGCCAGGAACGGTGTAATCCGTGGCCAATGGGAGCTTCGGGGGAGGTACCCACAGGCGAGGGAGGCATGGGGCCCTCTGCCCCCCCTCTCCCTCAGGGGTTGACCTTAGGAGGGGAAGCCTTGGACCTACCCCCTCCAATACACACATTAAAATACATTTCATAAACAGGACAATCAAGAGGAAGAATTAAGGGAGCACAGGCAAATGTAAATCTGGCATCTCACAAATTTCAACCTAAATAGCTAACTTTTGTGTATATAGTTACTATGTAAAGGGTAAAAAGGTTTCTAAATTTCAGAAATGGTGTTTGTGCTTCCCCCTTTACTCTCCTGATGACCGGAATCTATTATTATGAAAATACTGACAGTAGTGTGTTCACTTAATTATACTCAGGTTAACGTACAAAACAAGTTTACTATTTAAATACAATACACAAACATTTTTGTCTCTAGAGAAACAAAGAAAAAATATCCCAAAACTCAAAATTTTAAGGTATTTGTCTTGTTTTTACTTACATTTATATCTGTATGGTATATAAGAACACACAATGCTGGCAAAATCTGAAAAAAATAAACTATCAATAATTATAGTGGCACCTGTCCATCACAAAGTAACATCAGCTGTGTAAAAGCAAGTTAGAGTAGAACATGTAGAACAGTATGGTTTGAGGATTTATTCATGTATTATACACGTATGTTTCCTAACAGATGGCATTCACTCAAACGTCATAAAAAAATTAAATATTTTGCAGGAATTTTGTACAAATGCAAAATAAAGTTGCAGCAATGCTATACTTTAAAGGAGTAGTGAGAGAGAAGAGAACAATTTCAGGGAATATAAGCAAACTTAAGAGCAAAGATAAATTTTAGTGATTTTCCCAGCTACTTATCAGGGGTGCTGAGAGCCATTGAACCAAAATGTAAACCCTGTATTTGATGGAAACCATTTCAAGCCAGGGGATGCAGCAGTACCCCTAGTTCCAGCACCTATACTACTTATGAAAGCTTGTGTTTAAAATTACCAGGTATAGTAAAAATGTAAGCACAACAAAACCCCCACTTGTTTGGGAAGTTACTAGGATCAAAATAAAATGTTTTTTTACATGCATTTGTGTAGAGCCAAAGCAAAGTCACTCTTACTACAATACATAAACCCTTGTTTGGTAAATTCTCACTTTTAAACAAAAAAGTGTTCTGCTTATACAGTCTCTCAATTCTGAAGTTCCATCATACTTCATTTTGCACTAAAATGATACTTCAAACTGCTTCAAAAAGACTATAGACATCAGAATATATTTTTAAACAAAGTAGAGCTTTAAATAGGTTGGTAGTATAACCCACAGTAAACCAGCATCCCTCTTTTTACGATTGGCCGAAACGGTCTTCAAGTCTGTATTTTTTTTATATCTGGGCAGTCAAGTATTTTCAGGTGCTTCAGTTTTAAAATGGGGACATATCACTGACACTATATATTTTGATAAGTACTCAAAACTTAAATATATATTAAAATGACACACCCACTTAATTATTTACTTACATTTCACATAATTAAAAGTAATTTCATTTGAATAGCTATTTGTATGTAGTAGTCTCTTGTTTGGTGAAAGTATGAAATGCTGCAAATTAAACTAACTCTTCAAGTTAACACTTTCTACAGTCTTCGCTTTTCGACAGTCTATTTCAACAAATTTTCCAAAGACTAATTAGTCAGCATACACACTCTCAAATGGTATAATTAGTTTAGTTATAACCTCCAATTAGATTACATAAATAGACACTTTGATACTTTTATTAACTGGTAATTAATACCAGGCAGCATCATAAAACATGCATTAATTTGTAGCACATACAGCAGCATAAAAAAAACTGTCCTGTAGCCCAGAGATAAGGTGTAAAAATCAGTCCTATTATAATTATTTACCTCCTGAACTGTCTCCATAGGCGGTGGGGGGTCCTTATTCCTGCAGAGATTTACAATGACCCATGTGACGTTCCGAAGGAAGGTGATGGGAATGGAGGGATTGATGAAGGACAGAAGAGGTTTGACAACTCCCAGTGATATGACATAATCTCTACACTGAGGACCATCACCTACAGAAATGAAAATTGTTTTAAAAAAAATTACATTAAAGATGGAAAACCTTGAAATGTATGCAATGACTTATGTTGGGATACTGATATTCTATGTTTCCTCACCAGAAGTTTAGTACCAAAAGCTGCTGTTCAATAAAAATATTTTAGGAGGCATAAAATTTATATTAAAATTTCTTATAGCAAATGAAGTCACTAACTCTCCAAACTTAATAATTAGTATATACATATGGATTCTTGCCATGTGGAAAATTATATGAAACCAGAGAATATAGAGGAAACATAGTCTCATATGGTAATGCCAATGTTCAAAAGTTAGAATCTAAAATTCCTATATGTCCCCTGATTTAATTTCAAGTACTTTTAAAAAGACAGTTAGCACTTACCTATAATATTTCCAAGAGCCCAAACAGCTTGCTCACAAACATTCTGATGTGGTGAGTGAAGCAGTCTCAAAAAGAGGGGTACTGCATCTATACAATGAAAAGATTCGACCCTGTTAGTGGAACATAGAAGAAACTGTACACAATATTTTAGTCTATTATTATTAAAATTTATATAATTCCATAACTTTGCCTGACATTAAGACCTTACAGTTTAAGTTAGAAATATACATAAATTCTCAAAAATGTTTCCTTTCAGAAAACAACCAAATGTTAAACAATGGTCCCCGCACCTAAGCTCCCCTCCCAAAAGGTGGGAGTCAATACACTTAAACAAAATTTTAAGTTAAAGGTACAAAGTCCAGTGTCCTGGAAATTGAGATCTTCTATTTACCCAAAAACCAGGTGCATAACCAGAGCAGAAACACAAGCTTCCCATGCTGCCTTGACAATGTGCCTCAACACCATGACCTGGAAAAACCACCTCTTTAAGAATTCATATTGGTACTATTCCCCTTGAGCCATCCATTTCCCCTCACATAACCCATTCCTTGAAAGCATGAGGAGTCTTAATGGTAAACTTTTCATTTGCACACTATCATACTTTATCATGTAGACCCATCGGGCAAACTAAAACTGATTAATATGCTGGTGAATGAGTTAGCACTCACAAGAGAAAATACTACAAACATTAAAATATTAAGAGCTAAGAAAATTAAAGTGTGTTTTTAAATAGAAAATTTGCAATATAAAAAAATTCCAAGTGGACACAATTGTTTTATTTTTGATAATTTAACACGAGGTAGTAGTAAGCCGAAAAAATTGAACAGATTAATGAACAAAATCTATGGAAAAATTCCATGCAGTTAAGACAAACTGCAAAGGAATTTGTTCAAGTTGCCTCAAGATTAGTAACAGTGCTCAACAGATATGAGAGACATCCAACACACTGACACCTAAAAACTTCACTTCCCTCGGGTGCTGTGACATTCAATCCTACCTGGATCACAAGGTCCTACTTTAATGGAATATTCTTGCCTGTCTTTCTTTACAATCAATGGCTCAACCAAATAACTCTGCTGGAACACGGAGCCAGCATGTCTGGATTGGGGAGGATCAAGTAAGTGTTATTTCTTTCGATAGCACAACTTTTGTGTTTTTAGAAGCGGGATGAAATGTTTCACATCTGCCCTCCAACAGAAGGTGAATTTTTGCAAAAATCTGTTTAAGTAATTAGAGAACAAAATTAGAGGGTTCCCCCCCACAAAAAAAGTGTAAAGTTTAACTATACTTTCTTTTCAATGGCGCTGGAGCAAAAATAGCTCAAGTTTGATACCCGGAATGGAAATAACTCTGAGGACTACCGACATTACTAGATTTGGAAAAAGACAATTGAAGAAGTAATAACTGAAAAATCACTGAGCGCACACAGTTGGCATCTAAGTCTTGCACCTTTTGTAAAATCACTGCATATACTCTGTCTAGCCTGACAGAAAACAGCCTGTTCGGATAATTTGCATGAGAACTGTCTTACTGAATAGTATCAAAATCCTTGAAAAAGCTGCTTTAGCATTGAGACATGAGAAAAACTGCAGGTGCGATCCTGGGATTTTATTGTTTCTCTGCACTTTTGACAACACTGCAAATTCTAAACTTGCATTTCTCTTTTCCAAGCTGAAGAGTCCCTGTCTTTTTCATCTCTCCTCACATGGAAGCTGTTCCATACCCTTAATCATTTTTGTTGCCCATCTCTGTACCTGTTCCAATTCTAATATACGTCTTTTTTGAGATGGAGAGACCAGAACTGCAAGCATTATTCAAGGTATGGGCATACCATGGATTTATATAGTGGCATTATATTTTCTGTCTTATCTATTCCTCTCCTAATGGTTCCTAACATTGTTAGCTTTTTTGACTACTGCTGTACATTGAACAGATGTTTCCAGAGAACTATCCCAATGACGCCAAGATCTCTTTCTTGAGTTGTAACAGCTAATTTAGACCCCATCATTTTATATGCATAGATGGGATTATGTTTTTCAATGTGCATTACTTTGCATTTATCAGCACTGAATTTATCTGCCATTTTGTTGCCCAGTCACCCAGTTTTGTGAGATCCATTTGTAGCTCTTCAAAGTCAGCTTTGCACTTCACTATCTTGACTATTTTTGTATCGTCTGCAAAGTTTGCCACATCACTGTTTACCCCTTTTCCAAATCATTTTTGAATATGGTGAATAGGACTGGTCCCAGTACAGATCCCTGGAGGACACCACTATTTACCTCTCTCCATTGTGAAAACTGATCATTTATCCCAACCCTTTGTTTCCTATCTGTTAACCAGTTACTGATTCCTCTTATCCCCATGACTGCTTACTTTGCTTAAGAGAATTTCATGAGGGACCTTGTCAAAGGCTTTTTGAAAGTCCAAGTACACTATATCCACTGGCTCAACTGTGTTGCATGTTTGTTGACTCTATCAAAGAAGCCTAATAGATTGGTGAGGCATGATTTCCCTTTACAAAAGCAGTGCTGACTCTTCCCCAAATTGTGTTAATCTAGATCTCTGATAATTCTGTTCTTTACTATAGTTTCAATCAATTTGCCTGGTTCTGGAGTTAGGCTTACCAGCCGGTAGTCGCCAGGATTGCCTCTGGAGTCTTTAAAAAAAAATTGGTGTCACATCAGCTATTCTCCAGTCATCTGGTAACAGAGGTTGATTTAAATCAGAGGTGGGCAAACTATGGCCTGCGGGCCATATCTGGTCAGGGAGAAGGGGGTGGTTAGATGGGGCAGGGGGGCGGCCAGGAAGGGTGGGGGGTTGGATGGGGCGGCGGGGGGTAGTCAGGAGCAGGAGTTCCAGGGGCGGTCAGGGAGCAGTGGAGGTGGATGGAGCAGGGGTCCCCAGGGGGCAGTCAGGA